TTTTGAAAACTTCGAGAGAAAAAAAAAAAAAAAAAAAAAAGTATTTTGTTGAGGAATATTTTCACTGTTTTGTCCCTGCAATAAAAGTCAGTGGGTTCCAGTGTTGTTGTGGACCTTATTGACACTCACTGTATGGTTTGCTTCTTTTGCTTTCCACAAAAGAAATAAAATCATACCAGTAAGTAACCAATGAAAGAATTGTAATTTTTGGTTGAACAGTCCCTTTAAGCAAATGCAATGATGGGTCATTCTTAAAATATGTGTGTGTTTGTGTGTAGTTGCAGAACCAGGACTCCATACTCAGTCTGCTGAAGAGGACCGAGACAGAGCTGAGTCTCCGTCTATCAGATGCGCTGAGGAAACAGGAAGACCCTCTCCAGAGACAGCGCCTCCTAGTGGAAGAGGAGAGACTCAAGTACCTGAACGAGGAGGAACTCATCATACAGCAACTGCAGTGCGTCTCGCGCACAATATGTGCTCATAATGTGCTGATAATGCAGTCTGAGGTGCTAGCTTAGTGACACTGCTGCATAATGTGCAAAAAATTATTTCCCAGTTATTTTTATTGCATAGGTTCTCATCAGCTCATGCCTGAAAGCGAGGTATAAACAGTCTGAGTCAAAGTCCTGCAGACCCGCACCTCACCTTTAGCTTGTACAACAAACGGACAGCATCTCATTGACTTATTTTGTTCCAATTAAAAGCAGCAGGGTGACTAAATCCGCCTCTTTAACCCGCTGCCAGATCAGTCGTGTTGCTTTTAATTGATAGTGGTTATTAAGTATAGCTAACAGCCAGTTGATGTTATTCAATTATTAACGGGACGCTGTTTGTAACAAACCATTTTGTGGGGGGTGGATTTATTTGACGTGGTTAAATTGGATTTCGAGTGTAAACACTCTGACTGTGTCTCAGTTATTTAGTGCTAATACACCCTGCTGCAATGACACTTATTCAAATGCGTGCCGACGCCACAGCGCAGGGAGGTGGGCCTGGGATTTTCACATGCATCTCGTGCTACATTTTTCAACTTTTAAATGTCAGAAACATCAGAATGTAAAAGATGCCCTTCTGTGTAATATCACTGAGGTGCTTTATGATAGCATCAATTATGTCATGCAGGTTTATGCTCTTTCTGAAACAATCAATATGTGATAAAACTAATGAGCGGATGTTTGTGTTTGACAGTGATCTGGAAAAGTCAGTGGAGGAAATCCAGAAGGAGATGTCTGTCAATCACCGACATGTGACAGTGCAGGAGCTGGAGGAGAAAATCTCGCTGCTGAGGAAACTGGGAGAGACTCTTACGGAGCTGAAGAGTGAGACAGACTCTTTTCTGTCCTTCACAGTCAGGCACTTGAACCTTAGTTACAGAAGAGAGTTGTTCACTTCTCTGGCTGTCTGTTTTTCTCTTTGTCTCTCTCGTTCAGATCTTTTCCCAGGGCTCCAGAGTAAAATGCGTGTGGTGTTACGAGTGGAAGTGGAAGCTGTGAAATTCCTGAAAGAGGAGCCACACAGACTAGACGCCCTGCTTAAACGCTGCAAATCTATCACAGACACTCTCTCCACGCTGAGGAGGTAGACAAACACTTACTAACCACTTACTGGGTTATTTAATCATTCCTTGTCTCGACACACATTCTGACCGTGTCTCGAATGTAATTTACTCTTCATCATTTTGAGTGCTATTTTATGGATTAATCAGGCAGGTGAATGAAGGAGTGTGGAAGACCCAGGATGAGTATTCCAGCCCCTCCCCTAAACTCGGAGGAGGGGTTGAGTACAGGAAGAACCCAGAATTCGACATTCCAACCAGCCCACCGCTAAGCCTCAATGAGACCAGCCTGGCTAACTGGAGCCCTCACTCTGGTCAAGGACACAGCCACTCGAACCCTTCTAGTGCACAGCGTGAGAAAGATTATCATGGGGTGGTGAGCTCGTTGAAGGGACGGGAGCTGGGCGAGCTGGGAGGTCGAGGCGGGTCTGATAAGGCCTCATCTGTGGAAGTGAGACTGGTGAGGAATGAGATTTAAAATGAAAGTAGGGCCCTATGATTTACGCGATGCGGAAAACGCGGACGGAATCGCGGAATCCAGTTATTAAAAAAATTCAATTTACTGTATAACGTGGAATGTCGACGTTTGAATGAATTAATCAAAAGTAGGTCATTACACTTAAATCACGATATGGACTAGTATCTGTAAATATTAAGCCGCAAAAAAACTGTTCTGCGTGTCTCTGTGTGAATGAATGAATGAATGTTTTGTTTACCGCACGTACTGAAGCGCTCGCTGTGATTTCTGCCGTTTTACTAAATTAGGACACAAATACATGAACAACATCTCCAGAACTGCTCTGAGTCACTTCCTGAGCATTTTACCGTTCCATTTGAGTAAAACTATTGTCATATCATATATACACAGAAGAGTAAAGGTATTCATAATAAATTGTATGCATTCAAATAATTAGACATGCTTAAACACAGAATTTGGTAACAAAACAGAGCGTGAGAAAAAAATAAAACTTATTTCATTCATAGGGCCCTAAAAATGTATTTTTTGTTAAACCTTTAATATATTGATGTTAAGTTGTATAAGTTTCATGATTTTAAATAATTAGACATGCTTTTTGATTAATACAATTTAAATTAATCATTAAAAAATTGAAAATGGAAAAAATGGAATCCAGAAAATCCAAAAAAGTAAATCCACATATTTACTTTTGAAATCTTGAATGTGTTTAGAGTTGACAATTTGGACTTGGTGTAAATAGGTTTAACAGCTTCTTTAGCTGTTTTGAAGCACTAATGATCTTGTATGTCTCCTCAGGCAGCAGAGCGGGATTGGGAAGAAAAGAGAGCCAGTCTAACACAGTACAGTGCTCAGGACATTAATCGACTGTTGGAGGAGACTCAGGCTGAGCTCATGAAGGCCATTCCTGACTTGGACTTTGCTGCCAAGCAGATCCGACCTGCTCAGAACCAGATTCAAAACCAAAACCAGAGCCCGAGTCCATCTAACACCAATGCCACACCTGAACACAAGCCTAATAAACCTCAGAATAAACTTTCCAGTAAAGATAGCGGATCTAGACGAGGCTCGGATGAACTGACGGTGGCAAGGTATCGAACGGAGAAGCCGGCAAAATGCCCCCCTCCTCCACCTCCCCGCCGGAGTTTCCCCTCCTCCCCTGGGCTTACTACACGCAGCGGAGAGATGATCATTCCTGGAAAGAGTATAAAGGTGACTGGTGACAATCAGAATGACACACACACACACAGATGATTTTGCATGTGTGCGTTTATGCATGCAAACTTTCTCAAACATTTACGTGCAAGCTGTTCCTGAAAGAGAAGCACACAGACCGTCAGAGGAGTCAGGGGAACACACTACATCACTTTTATTTGAGTGCAGGGTCTCAAAAATGTCAGGCTTCTCATAAAAGCCGCCTGTGTTTGTAGGTGTGTTAGTCATGGTTGATATTTACTTTATCACCTCAATTGTTCCTATGGTGATAAATCGCCTGTTGGTCACAGGTGAATTTGAGAGAGATTGAGAAAGATTAAGATGGTTCTAGGTGTTAATTTCCCTTGTGTTTATTTTTAATTAAGATTCAGTCGTTACATTACAATGGGATATTTTCTATACTCTTGTAGCCTTTTAGTTATTATTTTCTGGAATTTAATTGTAATGTCTGTCAAAGCAGCCATAATTAATTTTACATGATTCATTCATTCAATCATATACATATATACATTTATATATATTTTTTTATATTTATATACTTACTTATTAATTCATCCATAAATATATTATTTATTTGTTAATTATTTGATCCATAAATAAATAATTATATTTTATATTATTCATTCATTGATCGATTCAGTCATAAATAAATAAATGTTTATATTTTATAAGAAATTTTCCTTAAATAAATACAAACATACATAATTGTATTTATATTTATTTACTGATTGATCCATTCAATATTTTCTTGTTGCAGAGCATATCCGTATGCATTAGCAACAACATTGAGACATTTTTAAGTGTGACTTAAGTGTCCAAAAATTGAATATGTGTCTAGTACATCAAACTTATTTTAAAAGAGAAGTATGTTTTTGTGTGTGTGTTCCCTTTTTAAAAAAAATGCATATTGTATATAGAGATTTGTCTTTTGTCTTTGTGTATGTAAACAGAAGTCAGAATCAGAGGAGACCGAGTCTCAGAAGCCACACGTTAAGCTGAGGAGGAGTGTATCCGAAGCCCCCCGACCGGCCTCCACCCCTCCAACCATTGCTGGTGGAGAGCGAGAGGAGGGTGCCGAGGAGAGGTTAGCAGCTGAGCTGGAGGTGAGCACATGTATTACCTGAAGAGTCCTGTCAGACCGTCTGTACCCTAACGGCTGAAGTGTTAATGTTGGTGATTAATGTCCATATGTCACAAGCACCAGATGTGTCTGGTGTACACCCACAGAGTAGTGCAATTACGTTCGCATACACACATTGGTGGCTTCTACCAGTTGGCTGGTTCGCGCATTCATTAAGAACACATTAGCAGGCAGGAGATCTGAATTTCTGTCTGTGCTCTTTGGCTCATGAACTATTAAGCTCAAATGAGTGGTTTGATAATGTCTTGTGCTGTACTGATGTAAAGTGCTGTTAGTTAGGCACTAGTGAGTATATTGTGGGATACCGTTTGTGTCTAATTTAACTGTACGTAGAATCAACAACCATAACATCTAATATATGCCATCTCACTTACCCATATACTTTATCTCTAGATGCATTAGCAACTTCAGAGCAGGGTTATGCACCACTCAAATTGAATTGGGAATGCCTTCTACATGCTAATTCTATTCCAATTTAAACTGAATTTGAGGATGCAGAATTGCAATTTAAGAAAGTTGAAAAAAAAAATGGAATAAAATGCTAAGAAATTCATATAGAGTACCCGCTGTAATAGTGATATTCTGTCATGCCTACAACACACTGGATATTTCCAGAAACATTAATAATCAGTCTTTGTAAATTCTATAATTTATATAAATTTCATTTTATATTTTATATTACATATATACATTGCTGTTTAAATGTTTTAAGTTAATGTTTAATGTTTTTTAAAAAATTATGTTTTTGAAAGAAGTCTCTTATGCTCACTAAAGCTGCATTTATTTGAATGCAAATACAGTAATATTGTGAAATATAAAAAAAACAATTATTCAATAACTATTTATTGATAAAATTGTTATTTAAAAAGCTATTTTAATATATTTCAAAATGTAATTTCAGCAGTCATTGTTCCAGTCTTCAGTGTCACATGATCCTTGGAAATCATTCTAATATGCTGCTTTACTGCTTAAGAAACATTTATTATTAACAAGTTTGAAAAGTTGTGCTTCTTTGCTTCTTAATATTAAGTTCTTAACATGGTTTTAAAGATCAAAAGAACAGCATTTATATGAAGTAGATTATTGTAACAATTTAATGTCACAATATGGCATATAATGTAATATAAATTGAATTTATGGGAATGAAGGACCAAACTCAGGTCGCCCAAAGTGCCGATAAATACATCCATCCTTGCTGAATAAAAGAATTATCTTATTATTTTAAAGATTGTACTTTTTGATGGTTTTGAACTGCAGTTCAATTGCTTCAGAACATGCATCAAATCGTTTTATATTTGTTTAATTGATGCACAATTAAATTCTAACCTCTCTCCCTAGCTGTCTCTATTATAATTTTACCAGGGGCCCATAACAGTGCATTTCTCCTGACTGACACTGATTGAGCTGTGTTGGTGTTGATTTTAGGCTTCCTTGACCTGCTTCAGGGCAGCAACACACACACACACGGCACACAAACTTACAAGGCTCATTAACACCAACAAGCAGACATATTTTGTTGTCTTGGTTGAGTGGATGATAGGGTAAGCGAGCAGATGTCTCTTGTCCTCCATCCCCACTGCATGTCTCTGTTGGAAACCCTGTGGAGACCTGTGGAGATCTGGGCACTGCTGCAGTGACACCCATACTGACCTCCCCCTCAAATCTAATGAGGCTCACAAACTGCATCTCAAAACAAACCCGTAACTCAATAACACCCGCCCTCTACATAGACATTCATGAACATAAATAGCTGAAGTCTAACCATTGTTTAAAGGTACAGTGTGTAATTTCTGATGTTCCGCCAAATGATAATGTAATTTTGTATATTTGATTAAATAAATTATGGGATTTACAATTCTGTATATGAATGTGCATGTCCTAAATGACATTAGAGCTTTTCATGAGGAATCCTGAACTGATATTGTGCATCCCATATTTTTCATTCATTCTCTTCGATTTCCCTGACTGCTCAGCTCTTTGAGCGACATCTGACTCTCCCCCTGCCCTCTCCCAGGAAATATCCTCCTCCCTCTAGATTACAGCTGTTGCCCCATGTGCCCTCGGCTGGACAGGTAACAGCCCCTGCTGCAAGCTAGTGTGGACAGCTGTTGTACACTCATGCATACACATGAATCTTAGTTCACCCCAAAATGTGTCCCTCTAAAATGTTAGACATACACCTATGTCTACAAAAAACCTCACTGCACTCAAACTAAAGACCAAAGATGCTCTTAGGCACAAAAAACAAAACAAAACAAAAAGATATTCCCACATCACAGTGAGCACGAACACAACTACACAATCACCACCTACTGTACACAGTGCGTGAGTGTGCACTTGCCAGTGCATGTCTGTTTTGTGTTGAAATGCCAAATTTACAATTTCCTCCACTGAAGCTAAAAGTGGTTTGATATTGTAATGTGGTAGCACTTGCCCAGATTTTAGAATTTTGCTGTTTTTACATTTTTAAATTATCTTTAAAGGAATAGTTCATCTAAAAATGAATGTTCTATCATCATTTACTTACCCTCATGTCGTTCCAAACCCATATGACTTTCTTTTGTTGAACAAAGAAAGAGAAATTTTGTTTTACTATGCTCTTTTACATGAAGCAATATGATTGGAGCCTGAAACTTTCAACATTCAAAAAGTATGCAAAAGTTTTAAAGGTATCGTAAAAGTAGTCCATACTCCACATTCCAAGTCTTCTAATTCCATAATATTTTTAATACTAAAAGTAACAATAATTTAGGTTTATGAGAGAAATAGCTGATTTGTGATTCTTTTGAATTGGATATTTTGAATCTGTTTCACAAAACTAGTCTGAATGATTAGTTCACGATTTGTTCGTGTTCTCGAGTTCAACTGACTCAATGATTCAGTCGTAACAGTCAACAGCTCAAATAAAGGGTAAGATCATGAGTGAATAACTATGTAGATTTTAGTCAGTTCCTCACAAAACAAGACTAGCATGAGTCAAATTGACTATTTTGGACTATTTTTAGAATTCTTGTGCATTTTTTTAATTCAGACATGAAAAGATTGAATAAACGCAAGTAAGCGAGGACTGAATGATTTTTGTGATTTTTGAGAACTATTCCTAGGTGAATGTGTTTGAATATTTATTATTATTTTTTATTTATTTAGTTAAATTTAGTATTTGTATGTGTGCTATACTACATATGTGCCAGCAGCTGATCACATATAAGCGTGGTGATGATCACTCCAATGATTTTACAGAGAAACCTCTGGTTAGTTCTTTTTAGCCACCTTTACATTAACCTTACAACTTCATACATTTATGATTCACATTCATGGGTTAATTATGCACATTTCTCCTGCCACATTGCAGATGCAGCACGGGATGTCCTCCACTCCAGTTCCCCAGATAGTCTTAACTGAGTGTAACTCTCTCCCCACGTCCCCTTCTGAGGACTCAGCAGAGATCCGGCCATCTGACAGCATGCAGATAATTAAAGACAATAACACTGGAAATAACATCAGAGTAAGTTACTTCAGCCACATTGTGAGGACTCCCCGTCTGTCGCTATGGAAACAAGACTTGTCAGCCAGCCAAAAAGTCCCTCGGATACAAGACTTGGATGCAGCCCAGAGGGAGCTCCAGAGTCCTGTCCAGGATGTGACCCAGTCGTGCCCGCCCTTAACAAGCAAGAGAGCAATTAAACAGCCCCTGAGGAGGGAGCCAAGGGTTCAGGAGTCTCTCGAGGCGGCGACGGAAACGAAAGAAGAGCGAATGAGAAAGCCAGACACTACAATGTCTGTCTCGCCGCAAAAAGGGCCTGTAGAGATATCTCAAGTGGGTTTGATCCGCACTCAAGGCGTTGGAGGGGAAAAGGAAGACATCTGCCACAGCACATACCGTCGTCTGGACAGTCTGGAGGAGACCATCCGTGAGCTGGAGCTCAGCCTGATGGAGTTCAGCACTGATCCTCACATGGGGAACATCTTCCCAGCATCCGTCCAGGCGCAGAGTTCCTCCACCAAGAGATCTGGCAGCACTCCACATACAGCACAGACCCCTGCAGACGGAGGAGACACAAACAAACCTGCTGTCCCACCCAAACCGTCCTGCATCAGCACATCCACAGCAAAGGTTCAACCTAACCTTCAGTATCTTCTTCAGTCTTTTCCATCTTCTTTCTTCCTGTCTGGTGGAAGGTTTTTGGTCTCTTACGCTGGGTTGCTCAACTAGATCAGTTTGTTCTCTTTTGCAAATGCTTTGATAAATTGTTTGCCTCCAGCCTCTGTAGAAATACATATTGTATCTTTCGCACAATAAATTGTCTTGTTTCCTCCTCTTCTTTATTAGCCTGCTACTTTTTTTCCCTCTTAAAATGACTTTGCAATTTGATTACTTTCCCCTTGTCTTATTTTCCTCTGGTACATAAGACATTATATGTGGTTTTCTTGTAAAATAAAAAGATAAAGCCCAGGGAAGCTCTTCGTAACTACTCAAGTGATTTTGTTGCGTAATTTATGTGGTATTGACTCCTCGCATTTGTCTTTCGTCTTCGGAGAGTAGTTGTCAGGATAAACCGCTACGAAGCAGCACCAGATGCCATGTGTATTACTCAACTGCGCTGAGAACAGGGCTGATCTCCATGAGTGACAGAAGGGAAGGATTTGGATGAAGTCACTTGTGTTTTCTAGTGCGTTGCTTTCAGCCCACACATTTGTATACAAGCCAGCATTGCATCATCCCTCCTAACTGTTGAGTTCAAGCCCCTTGCTCTAGGTCGTTGCACGCTGTTTTCATAGGACAGATGGAGCCTGGCAACCGCAGGTCCACCTGATTGCATGCATTAGATCCTCTTACAAAACCCCTCGTTCAGTGAGGTGCTCATTTGCATAAAACACACAGCTAATGGGCCTTTTAAACTTTAAAAGGTCTGTTGGCTGGTTGTGACTCTAGACTTTAGTCAAGTGCTTGATCTTGTGTAGGTAATATATGCAGAGAGAGAAAAGACTATTTTGTATTTCACAGAGAGATTTTGTCAACTTTGTGCAGAGCCGTATAATTGATATTTTCTGAATTTGATACAAGAAATTATAGGTAATATGTGTCTGTGTGTGTGTGCTGAGATGCATGTGTTCTATTAAAAACACATCACCCTTCTGCCTGTCTTGCACACTATTCTCCTCCAGCACTTCCTTTGACTGCCAGCGATGGCAAATACACTGTTGGACATTGGATGAAAAATATGACCAAATATAGTGCATAGATTCATCTCTTCTTCTCTCTCATCCTTCTCAGACTGGTGGTGGAAAAGTGTTGTCTCGTCTCAAGCACCTGCAGCAAAGTGGATCAGAAAAGAGCAAAACAAGCAAACAGAGAGAGGACTTCCTTAAGAACCAGGGTCAACAGCAGGTATGATCTGTCTGTCTTTCTGTCTGTCTGTTCTATATATCAGTTGTTCTATCATTCCATGGTTTTATCTATCATTCTGTGGTTCTATCTATGGTTCTATCATCCAGTGTATTGTTCTATCGTTCCATCATTCTATCTAATGTCTAGGCCTCTACCTTCTGTCTAGGCCTAGTGTAATCTAAGTCTAGTTTTTGGTCTATCTTTAATCTTTGTTTTGATCTTGGCTTTGGTTAATTTTTAGTTTGGTCTAAAAATTAAATGTGGTTTTAGTCTTGTATTTAGTCTTGGTTATAGTTTTGGTCTAGTCTTAATCTAGCATAAGTGCTAATTTTAGGCTTAGCCTGGTCCAGTTTAGTCTTAGTCTAACTGTAGTCTTGACCTTGGTTTTGGTTTGTTCATTTTTTCAGTCTTGGTTTTACGTGGAACATGGTTTTAGACTCGTTCTTAGCCTTAATGTTGTGTAAGTTTGTATTAACATTTAAAATGGTTTTCTGAAAGCTAAGAAGATCATTTTCTGCTTGAAACCCATTCATAATGTTTGTCTGAGGGCATTTCAGAGCTCAAAATCCACAGCCCAGACTATTGCCGAGAGCTTTAGGAGAGATGTGTATGTGTGCACGTGTTTGTCTGTGTATGTCAGTCACAACTGAAGTGAGGCTGGGAGAGAACTTTCTAGCAGTGACGCTTTGAAAAAGCTGAATTGGTGCATCAATCGCAGAACATTTGGGACTCTAAAGTGCACTTAAAACCCCCTAGCAGAACAAAGAAACCAGAGACAGGTGGGTGTCAGGAGAAGGGGTAGAAAGAAAGCATGAAGCCAGAGACTAGGGAAATGTGAGCTCTACAACATAAGCGAAGTGAATGAGACAGGTGGAGAAAACAGGGGAGGGACTGAAAGATGGATTAGAGGGAGAAAAAGATGCACACACATGGACAGCTGAGGGCCTGAGTGCTGTAGGTATGGAGAAGATAGATATGCGGTGCTCTGTAAATCTCCTCACTCTGTGTTTAATAAATCTGGCCCCTGTTTAACAGGCCATGAATATTAGAAAATAATCTAATCTTTTATGGGGAAGGAAGAGAGAAGCAGATATTGGCAAGAGAGCGAGCAAGATCAGAGGGTTCATTGCAACTATAATTACAGGAGAGCATATTTGCTGTTATAGGCACTCCTGCTAAGCTGGATATGATCAGGATTTAGTCTTGTCAGTGTAACAGCTAATTATTCCCTTTGAAGTGGACTGCATATATCTCTTTTTTGTCTTAACCCTCTTAGCAGCAAATGGATACAAACATTTATGCACGCACATCTTTTCACCCGGACTCATTTCATTGAGGTTCTTTTTCTGCTTGCTGGGCCTTTCACTGTGCCTCTCGGCCTCATCCACGTTTGATTTAGTTTTGTACTCTAGCCTTCTCTTAAAAGACTTCATCTTTGAAATTATTGCTCTCCCTGACTGCTTGATTAACACATCACTGCTCCACAAACACTTCACACTCTCTCTTTTGGTCCGATTCACTTATCTCCTTGTCTTTATTGGACTAATTGTGAATTCAGTCAGAGCTGAGTGCAAATAAAATGTACAGCACCTTTCAAAAGTTTTGGGTCGGTAGTAAGTCTCTTATGATCACCAAGTCTGCATTTATTTGATCACAAATACAGTAAAAACAGTAATATTGTGAAATATGATTACATTTGAAAATAACTGTTTTCTTTTTTAATATATTTTAAAATGTAATTTACTTCAGTGTCACATGATCCTTCATTCTAATATTTCTAATATTTTTGGTGCTCAAGAAATATTGCTTATTATTATCAATGTTGCCATTTAATATTTTTGTAAAAACGGTAATACATTTTTTCAGGGTTCTTTGATGAATAGAAAGTTCAAAAGAACAGCATTTAGTTGAGATAGTAACCTTTTGTAACATTACAAATGTCTTTACTGTCACATTTGACTGTCACATGGATCATCCTTGCTAAATAAAAGTATTAATTTCTTCAAAAAAAAAAAAACCTAACTTTTGAATGGTAGCGTACATGCAATTATCTTCTCTTTTTCCAGAAAACTATATGCAGATTTTTTTTTATACTGTTAAAACTATTATGCGTCCATAGAATGAAATAATCTTGCAGACAGCAGAATAAAATAGTTTTTTAGTAAATGCAAAAAAATCCTTATGTTGCACATATTTCATTAATGTATCTTTTTTTTCTCAATCTCAAGTTGTTTGTGCACCCCTCTAGCACCCATTTTCATTTCACATATGACTTCCTTGAACAGCTTTATGTCTATTCTCAATTACATACGCTTTTGACACATGAATTGTAAGAGGACTGAGAAAGTCAGTGGAAAATGGCCAAAAGGGAAATGTATTCCTTATGACTGTGCAAAAGCAGTAGCTATTTTAACCTTCATCATAGTTGTGTTCTCCAGGGAGTTTTTGAAAAGGCTCTGTGAAAAGAACATGGGCCAGCAGGTTTGGAAAAGAGTGAGTGAAATGAAAGAGAGTGAGAAGGTTAAAGGGTGGAGAGATACGGGCGAGAGAGAGAGATGGAGAGTCTTTTTCTGCTCTATCAGGGTGGAATGATTGACATCTCATGTGGAAGGGCACAGGCGCTCTGGGCTCTCTCTTCACCCCCATCGCTCTGTCTTCTTCACTCCTTGTATCCATGCTGTCCATTCGTCTCCCTCACAAATGATTAGAGTTTGAGCAGATCTCAATGGAACACTTTCAGAGTCCTGTCACACAGGAACCGAAAGAGTGTGTGTGAGTGACTGATGGTAATAGAGATGCGTATGTGCACATGTTCAATAAACCCAACAAGATCTTGGGATCAAATGGTCCGTTTCTTCTAGCATAATGCATTGTGAGTGTTATAAATGTACGTGGATTCGCCCTCATGTGGTGAAATCAACACGTAGAGTTGTGTACCAGGCTAGCATCATTCATGAATGATCCTAACCTGAATAATGTTGTCCTGTGTTTGTCTTCATCCTTCCTCCCATCCTCCCCTTCCTCTTGCATTGTTCTCTTCGTCACCACTACCTGCCTGCGTGTCACATGCCATCCTTCGTCGGCCCTCATGGCAACCATTCACGTCCAACCCCTCGACCCAGTGAACAGAAGCGAGTGACCCAAAACAACCTGACTTGACCAAGGCTTATCCACCTCCTCCTCCGCTGTCTTCACCACCACTTCTTCATCAGCATCTCCTGACTGAAGCCCACAATCCTTTACCCAGTTCCTCCTAGTCAGTCCTGTATACTTTTAAGGAAATGGCCTAAAACATCATGCAGTTTTCAATATTCACCAGAGCCTCATTCATTCCTCAGAGAAAGTGTCTTGTGAGAGAGATTAATGACACATTGCAGCCAAACCAAACCTGAAAAGCCTCCCAAAATGTCTTTATTCTTAGTTTTTACTGTGTTTCTTCTCTACCCACTCTTCTGTCCTTTATCCCCCCACTTTTGCCCTCAACTCCCGCCCCTCAGGCTCTAAGTCTGAACATCAGCAGAGCCAGAGCAACCGAGTCGCTCCTCGCAAGCACCAGAGCCGCTAGCTTCTCTGGCCACCTGCCCTCCAGATTGCGAAAGTACTCCCAGGAGGGGGCGCTGTCCTCCTTGACAGCCTCCTCCAACCAGGCCAAAGCGCTTCTTGCTAGCCTCTCTGCATCCAGTCTCTCGGCGGAGGCCCTCCTGCTCTCGTCCACCTTAAGACAGCATCGGTTACTCAGAGAGCAGAACTTCAACTCCTCAAGCCTTCCTCTTCCCATCTCCAACGGCCGCTCCCCTCCCTCTCCGACTTCACCTACTTCCTCTTCCTCAACCTCAACCTCATCACCCTCTGCTCTCACCTCACTGAGTCTGTCCTCGCTGGCCCTGAAACCCTCCGTCGCCGGAAGCTTGGAGTTTGTCAAGGAGCGGAACAAGACTGAACCCAAGACGGTGACTCTGGACGACAGTGATTAAGGAGGATGTGGCTGGAAATGTTCCATGTATAGGATGCGGACAGCACAAGTAGATGAATTGAAATACGACTGACCTAAAAGTTTTTTTTGGAGGCTTAGTTTCTATAGCGTTTTGTTTCCAATCCTTTCCCTGGCTATCCTTACCAAGACGCCTTGCGGAGAATGGTGACGTAGTGCACGGAGGCATAGTGCAGCATTTTGCATCATAGGTTCACTTATCTTCAGTTTGTGAACAGATCCAAACTGTAAACCCTACCTACTCTGCATTTCTGCCAGTTCCTCAAACTAGAGAACCAACAGATGGGCTTGGACACTCACCACCAGCCTGTTTCCAGCTCCACTGCACAGCCAGCATCACACCACCCACGGGAGGCATGGGGAAGGACTCTTTACCCAAACCCTCATTCATTTGCCAAATCTCACATGTTGGAGGTCTAGCTGAGTTCGGTAGATGTCCATCAAGTGTAAAATCAAGACTGTAAGACTATGTAAAACCAAGTAGAGTTGCAATAATCGAAAGTGAGTACTGTAGTAGTCGGTGTTTGTCGAGACGTTTTATTGCTCATATCTATATTAACAAAAAGAATGTTAAAAAATAACAGCAAAACCTTAATGTGGAGGCAGTGTCGCTCGTTCTAATGTAGATTTTGGCTATCCGGCGTACTGCTAAAGGAAAATAACTGAAATTGGTGCTATGATTAACATTTTGATGATTATAAACTCCCTTAAAGGGATAGTTCATCCAAAAATGAACATTCTGTCATGACTTACTCATTCTTATATTGTTGCGAACTGAATGACATACTTTTTGAAAAATGTCTCGGTTTATTGTCTATACAATGGAAGTCAGTCAGGTCTAACAATGTTTTGGACCCCGCTGACTTAAATTGTGTGGACAAAAACATTCTTCAAAGTATCCTCTTTTGTATTCTACAGAAGAAAGCAATTCATGCAGAATTTTCATTTTCGGAAGAACTTTCCCTTACACACACACACTGCCTAAGAGTCTATTTTTGTTCTCATTTGCACTCAAATAGGTCTTCATACAGCCATTTTACATGTTTGCTGTAACTTAGCACAAGTTGTCATGGCAACAGGGGAATTGCGAGAAAGTGGAGGGCTGCCTACTTTTTAGATCACTTATTATAGCATGGGGTTGTTAGGCTATTGTTTTCTTAACAGTCACAGTTTTCCTACGTAAGGATATATGTAGGATACTTCCCTCTTCTTGTCATTAAAGAAGCACAACAAGTTTTAGAAGCTAGAGAAAGTACAATGATCTGACAATCATCAAACATTTCGGCACAAGCTGTCTTAACCTTTGGGCCTCCCAGATTGTGAAGCTGAATTCCAGTTTAAAATGAACAAACAGATGGTTAGGTTCACCGTGTAGGGGTTGCACAAGCAAGAAGACTGAGGGTAATTCCACAGCATGTATGCCAGTGGACGTGATCCATCGAGTAGAAGACATCTGTGCGGTAGAGCATTCCAACTCATCCTTTTTCCTAATGAGCCAGTCAAACCCTCCGCTTACTTTTCTATCAAACCACAGACACTTAGATTTAATATCATTTTTATAAGGTAATTGTGTGCCGGTTTATGATTACCTAGAATGGTGATATAAATATGAATATCACATCCTTTCTCTGGTTTCATTGCTCTCCACAGACATAATACAGAAATGCAAGAGCATAATTTTATTTATTTATTTTTTGGTCATTGAGGCTCTGGTTATGCCCACCCATCTGCTTTTCTCATTCCAGCCCTTATAACGCACAAGCACACAAACAAAGTTTGTTTTTTTTTCTTCTCACAAGGGTATTCCTATGTTGTGAATTTGTCAATGCCACAACCTGCAGGTTTCCTCATGAGCCCAGAGAATTTAAATGTGAAAAGGTGAGTGAGAGTGGAATAGAATCAGATGAATAGAGCAAGAGGGGAGATTTTTCCAGCTTTCTGACGAAACGAATGTGTGAAATTGATTGCTTGTGGTACGGGGTTTAAAATAATGGCTTAAGCACTAGGTCGACGTCGAGAGTAAATGGCCAGAGGAGAGATTAGTGGTGTTACTCCGTGTCTCGCAGCCAAATCGGCCTGTAATTCATGTCCAAAATGTATAATGATACACATGGGAGGTGCTGCGAGAGGCAAAAAGGTCAAGCTTAGGCTGTTACATGCATTGAAACTCCTTAATTTAAGCTATGGCTTGACTACGGTGTTGTTTAAATTTAACATCTGTGATTGAAAACAAAGCTTTATATGCCTGGATCTGCTAGTTATACAAAAAGTTCAGCAACTTTGCGAATTCCTTAAAATTACATTTGTTAAAATGATTAAAACTTGTCTTGATTTGTACTCTAGATCTTTCACACTCTAGATTTTTCAAGTCCTGTCTGGAAAGTTCACAGCAAGCATCATATTCATAACTCAGACTATTTAAAGGGGTCATATGACGTTGCTAAAAAGAACATTATTTGGTGTATTTGGTGTAATGAAATGTGTTTATGCGGTTTAAGGTTCAAAAAACACATTATTTTCCACATACTGTACATTATTGTTTCTCCTCTATGCCCCGCCTTTCTGAAATGCGTTGATTTTTACAAAGCTCATCGTTCTGAAAATCGAGGTGTGCTCTGATTGGCCAGCTATCCAGTGCGTTGTGATTGGCCGAATACCTCAAGCGTGTGACGGAAATGTTACACCCCTACCATACTGTGATGCTGTGTGTGCGACGGGTGATGCGCGACGAGACAAAACCAGTAAAACCCATTATGATGAAACACACAGCGCCTTCACGACATGGCGGCGGCGGCAACAATATTAGAGCGAGAATCAAAGTTACGCCTTCTTTTTTTGCGTGAACATTTGGGCGGCGTTATGTAAATCTTCCCACATCGTGACCCACGTCTTATGCAAATCTTCCCGCATGTGGGGGCGTGTTAGAACGGGCCGTTTTAGGTAGGCGTGGTTGACTCTTAACTTTTATAAAGAATATCTCTTTGGATTTGAGACTATTTAGTCTTTGCAACTTTACAGATCTTCTTGATGCACCAAGAGCTTATAACACTCCAAAGAGAAAGGAAAAATTGAAATCGCATCATATGACCCCTTTAAGGACCCAGACCAAACTATTATTACAAACTAGCAAATTTTGCAATTCATCCTGCTGTGAGCACACTCAAACGAACAAAACATTACCCTTGTGGCTTGAAGCGGGTTTCGTGCTTGGATGGAGATGCTAAGAATCTACAGCACTGTCAGGAAGTACACTTCATCCTCTTAGTAAAGCCACGGGTAGAAATTTGTGAGCTAAGAAAAGACTTTCTTGACCCCCCTCGGAGAGTGTGATGGATAAATGTAGGAAGGTGGTGAAATCTCCCTTTTTAAAGTAGTATCTTTCTCTCTCAAAACATGGTAAGATATCAGCTCAGACATGATATATAAATACATCTTCAGAGTTAGTCATTTATTTTTCACTCAGCATGGTTGGTAAAAAAAAATGTATGATGCTAGATTTGCGTTTGTATATTTTTTGTTTATTGATTTTATATTAACTGAGATTTATTTGTACATATTTTTGTTTTTGTAATCCTGAAGAAATATATAGCACACTAGAAAATTATTTATTCATAAGAAAATTGTTTTGTATATTGAGTTGAAAATATTACTCTGTACAGCCCAGTTCATGTATAAAGTATAGCTGCATCTAACCACAGGTTGATATTTTGTTAATGTTATGAGTTTATGAGTTGGGTGAATCTGAAAAAGCCTTCAGCCAGCCAGCCAGTCAAAAGAATTTAATTGTGATCCGAGTGAAATCTGGTTCATTGCCGATACTTATGAAGCTCTAATCTGTATTGTGACCTGAGAAAGTCATTTGCTAACTCTTAATTTGTTTGCTTTGGGTGAAATGAACAATGTGGATATAATGGCAAATGTAAATGAACTGTCACAGCCCTCTTCTGCCATCTAGTGGTAGGGAGTAAGTCTGCAATTTCATTGCTTATACTGTAGTTACTCAGTGAGACACTACTGAATAACAGATGTTTAAACTTTCACTGTACAAATGCCTTGGTCAAGGAAACAGTTGCGCAAGTGTTTCTGCCACATTCTGCTAATTTTGAGTTGCAAGTTCGAGTTTCCCCCCAGAAAGACTGCAGAAAATAGGAGGAACTGAATGCTTCTGCTAGTTATTCTGCAATTTCATTGCTTATACTGTAGTTACTCAGTGAGACACTACTGAATAACAGATGTTTAAACTTTCACTGTACAAATGCCTTGGTCAAGGAAACAGTTGCGCAAGTGTTTCTGCCACATTCTGCTAATTTTGAGTTGCAAGTTCGAGTTTCCCCCAAGAAAGACTGCAGAAAATAGGAGGAACTGAATGCTTCTGCTAGTTATGTCTGGTTTACCAGGCCAAAAATAAGAGTGATTTGGAGAAAGCACATTCTTTGTTGAATGGTCTATGATGGAACGTAGAATATTTCACCAGAACTCTTTAGTCCCTTAAGTGAGATTTTTTTTCTACATGGATGTGTGGATGTTACAAAATTCTGACATCAAACAATAACATTAAAATACTAGAAAACAGTAAAAGAAAAAATAATGAAAATACTATAACATGTAAATAAAACCGTAATTATTAGAGAGTCCTACAAAATTATGTCCTGAAAAAAAGTTTTATTTAAAAGATGGAGTTATAAGGTATATATTAAAAGTTTTAAAAATATTAAAAACAATAATTATAGCAATGCATGTACATTCTAAAAGCAATCGCACGGTGCAGATGATTTTTAAAAAACAAAGTTATATACATGTTTTTTTTTTTAAGTCAACGGAGAGAATAGTGAGGTCAAGTGCACTGAAATGAGGTTCACAGCTGTAGAGTCAAAGTAGGAAAAAATGACTTTTTCTATGCCTGATTTCTTTGTGGCTCAGGCATGTCCAGTCTTACTGTAATCTGTGGTGATGTGGTAACCAGACTTGAGTGGCAAGCTCTGAATGTGTTTTACTGAGTGACTGAGCAGATTAAATTCAGCTCTGACCATCAGTGCACTAGTAATGGTGCGAGCCCTTTACCCATGCTGTGACCTTCCCATCTCTAGAGTAGAGTAATATACCAACAGAGAATCACTCTATATACAAATAAGATATATAAACACCTATAGATACAGAAGAAAAAGAAATTAATTTGTCAGTGTGGATGCCATGATAACTTTGTGAGAAATGTGACTTTATTTTGTATTTTTTCCTGTGAGAAAACATTGAGAGCTGAGACCTTTTGTACATAATTGCTGTGGTTGTGTGTCTAATAAAGTACAGCTCTCTTCTATGACAATATTTCTACTGTCTTTTTTTTTTTTGGTTTCTCAGAATAAATAAAACATGTTTGTTACTGTACAATGTTTTCACCGTTTTATTAAAATATCTAAGAAATCGCACAAATGATTTGTATTTCAATATAAACACGGCACAACCATGAAAATTCAAGCTCAAGGAATTGCTTACATATTCACGAGCATATGCGATGGTACAAAAATCATTTTTATGCCTTATTTACAATTATATTACTTGTATCAGGGCATATGTAAGCGTGTGTGATGATGGGTGTCTGTTAGTGTGACTTTGTTTGTGTGCAGCATCTGTTGTTGTGTATCTGTGAATGTGTATGTATGTTTGCCAGTCATTTTCTGTATCACTGTACAGATTGAAAACGTTTTATTATATAAAGAATAAGACCAGGTGTTATATACAGAAGTGTCCAGTGGGAAGGAGGGAAGTCTCTTTAGGTAACTCTCAGTTGTCTTGTCGTGGAGTTGCTCTCCGACCATCACCTCTTCTGTAGGGTGAATTTCTCAAATCTGACAGACAAATGAAAAATAAAATTATAATTCTTATAAAATCTAATCAAATCAAATCATTCTTGCCAGTTCAAGAAGTACAAGGGAAGTATAAGCATAAGGAAAGTGCCTAGGGTATATTTTGACAAGACTATTTTGGCTGTACATCTATAACACATTTTTACCTGTTATAATGTCCTCGATGGCCCCGTCTGTGACTTGGGGCTTCACCTGTCTCTTCTTTAGCTCTGCAATCAGATCCATCTGAGGCAGTTTGGGCATCATGGGACCCTGATCAGAATAGGAGAAAATTTTCAAGGGAATAACTAAGTTGTGCAGTTCCACTCAATGCTTTATTTAAATAAAATATATTTTATTTTATAACATATATTTAAAAAAAAATCAAATAAAAATATTTTCTAAATAAAATTACAAACACATTTTAGAAATGCATTTTTTTTTACCTTTTGAGGAGTGCTATCTTTCTTCTTTGGGGAAGGGGTTGTCTGTTCTTCTGCTGCACTCTCTTGTTTCTTCTTCTGTTCATTATCTTGTTCTGCTTGCTGTTGTGTGACAATAATACACCACAGTAATTAATCAATTGGTGAAAAGCTTGCAGTATCTTTGTTCTTTGTTTAGAGCTCAGCTCCTTTAACATGCTCATTCAACATTTTATTCCTTTACTGTATTTACAGTATTTCAAGCAATTCCCATAAGCATGTGAACAATCAAATAATAACAGCTTTGTATTTACCTTTATGTGTATGTGTTGACACAAACATGCTCAATAGCTGTAGGTAAATGCTGCTGTATCTCTCACCTTATAAGCTTTGATAAACCTGACGAAGAGTGGGAAGAACATGGAAGGCTGTGTCGTTTTCGGATTCTCTCCGTAGTACTCCACTACAGACGTGTATGCCTCCTTGTTGGCCGAAGAGAAAAAGTCAGCAAGATTTAATGTCTAATAGTTTGTGTGCATTGAGCATACACTGTGGTCTCACCTGTGCTGTCTTGCCATCTTTAACAAGTGAGTCTAATATGTCACTGTTGGCCTTAACAAACTCTTTCAGCGCCGGGATGTCGTCCTGCACCAGGAACTCCTTCTTGGTCCCTTCCATCCCTCTCTCCAGAGATCTCACATCCTGGAGCACACTGTCCAAAGACACTGAGAGAGCAAAGGAGTGAGAAAGAGAAAACACAAACTAAATCTATAATTGATATGCAGTGATTGCACTATGTATCCCATTGTTTGTAGTATGTACAGTATGTAGTGGGATGTACAGTAATTATGGTATGTCTTACCCAGAGCAGCCTTGTCTACAAAGCGGAGTTCAGTGTGGAAGCCGGCAAGCTCGGGGTATTTGTCCTGCACCATATTTGCAATGAAGTGCATCAAAGTCTGTGTGCGGTCTGTGGACTTAGTGTCCAACAGCTGAAAGACACAAGAGAGTGACACTGAGTGAGAACACTGGGAGTTTTTACTGTGGCCACCAAGGACAGTTATTGCAAAGGTACAGGGTAGAAATAAAGGTAAGGTTGATGCAAAAGTTGTTTTTATTTTGGGTAAATATCCTCCATCACTAAGAAATTAAACAGATCAATATATTTATACAGTAATTATAATGTGAATATAAATGGATGGATGGATGGAAACTGCTTAAAAATGTCAAATACATTTTGATAGATGATTAGTTTCTTATCAGTCTTTGCAATGAATTAGTAAACAAAAATGCCAGATAGGATGCTTTCATAAAGATTTGAGACCTATTTCATTTGAAATGACATATAACCTGCAAATTTTCACTGTTGATATGTATTTTAATAGATTTTAATCAGGGTTATTATAGTTTAAAACTTTCATTTCTTGAAATAAAATAAACTTAAACTGAAATAAAATATAATAATATACAAACTTATTTTATTTCAGCTACTTGCCAAGGCAACTTTTCAAATTTTCAATTTTGCATTTTCATTTAGTTTAGCTTGATGTACTAACATAACTGAAATAAAAAAAATAAACTAAAATTAAAGTGAAAACAGAAAATATCAATAAATAAAAATTATAATAGTAATTATAACCGATTTTAATAATATATATATATATATATATATATATATATATATATATACACACACACACACACACATGTACATACATACACACATAAGTAGATAGATATAAAGGCATGATAAATATTGTGTGTATAATTTTTTTTTTTTTCATTTCATGTTAATGATGTTTTTGAGTTCGTCAACAAAATACATTAAAAAAGATGCGGTGGGGGGAGTAATCTGAAACATTTGAAAAACCTGGAAAACAATAGAAAATGTAAATGTAAAAGGAATTTATAGAAAATTTCAGCTACAGAAGATTAGCTTGCAAAGTTTTCATTCCCATGCAAAGTTTCAATCTTTGTTTCTGCATCAAAGGCCTCTACATGAAAGGTCTCTCATAACTAATACAAAGAGAGCTTCCCAAAATTCTCACCTGGGCCTGTAACTTTCTGCTGTTATTTACAATGCATACATAACACTTCAGTCCTGCTTAACAAAAACATGAGCCTTAAAGTTACAATCTACAAGCTCACTCACCAGGTCAAGGCTCTGCAGACGGAACCCATACGCTGCTCCTCTTTTACTGCTGTTCATGTAGTTCCCAAAGGCCAAGATGATCTGAACCAGGAGATTGATAAGTGAGCTGCATTGAAGGAGCACACCATACATACCTTTAAGCACAAATAAGGTCTACTCACCTCTAACATCTTCTTCAGCTTTGATGAAGATTTGAGGGACACGGAAGCTGCAATGATTGCATCTAATTGCTATGGAAACAGGTGGAGAAAAAGGATGATTTTTTGAATAAAACATGAATTATACCAGGTACAACAGCCAAAGAGTGATGTGAACTGACCGGCTGCAGACGTTTCACGCTCTCTGGGAAGTTGCCCATGAAAGTGAGGGTGTTGATCCGCTGAGCAAGGCGTGGGATTTTACCAAAGCGGACCACGAAACGGTCCTCCTCACTCAGGTCCTCTAGTGGCCGCCCTTCCTTCTCGTAGTTCTGGAGTAACTTCATCTCATACTCCGATGGGATGAAACGTTCCAGAAGCTCCAGAAAGTCGAGACTCAGAGACTGCTGATCATATCTGAGAGCAAGACAGAGAGAAGAGAGTTTCCATGGGAGCTGCAGCACCAGGTAGTGGAGGAGGTGGAGGCGGTGCTGCGACTGGAGGGGACGGCGCTTGAGAAGCTGGATCTGATACAGTCACTATGAACATTAAACAGACGTTGTGTTAATATCAATGTAACCAGCTAAAGGTAAACATTTTGAGTTCACCAGAAGCAGAAGGAGAACTTTTGCACAAGTGCTCCTACCTGTTTGAGTGACAATTTTCTCTACGGTGACTGGAATCACTTCGATGTCCAAGCTTCCAGAGGCTGTGCGCTCCAGTCGGACTAAGCCCTTCTCCTCCAGTTCCTTCAGCTTCACCTCTAGTTTAGACTCCTTTCCACTCACCTCTCTGTTTCTTTCTCTGTCCACCTGTGAGGGCTGCGACAGACGCTCCTGCTCTCTTTCTCTCTCTCTCTGAATCTCTCGTTCCCGTTCTCTCTGCTGCAAAGTGCTCACTTGGGCACAGGACTCTCGCAAGCTCTCCTGTTACACACACATGTAAAGGTTAGAGACAATGACTGATTCCCAATTTTGATATTCCTATTATTATTCTAAGAATGTATGTACTGCACTTTGCATGCATATGCATGCGTAAGTACCGTATATGAGCTGCAAAAAAAGACTTTAATATGACCATGTGTTTGGTCTAATTTCTAGTAAAAAATGCCTAAAAAAAAACTAAATCAAAACAAAAGCACTCACATCACTGGAAAAACTCTCAAAACATGATTTCAAAAATTTTATAAAGTCTGTTATCAAATTTTTGTATTTTTGGAGCTTAAGTGTGCCGACTTTCTGTTTTTCGTTAGTAAAAATACCTAAACATACTTTACATCTAAATATCTCAAATAAAATCAGTTTATGTTCATAAGATAAAAAGTTTTCAAAGAATATCTTGAATCATTTCATTATTTTTAATTAAATTCAAATTAAAAACAAATAAAGATAATTAGATACATTCTCTGACAAGTTTCTCTGACAATTGTGCATCTTAAGTAAACCAATAATTTGAATTATTTTTTTATTAATAGTAATCTTACTACATCCCGTTTATATATATATATATATATATATATAATGTTTTTCATTTTAGTTTTTCTTTATTTATAAATCACAATTTATTAATTCAAAACAATCATGGGTTAACAAAAGTGATGTACATAAAATCACCTTAAAGGCATTAAAGAACAAATAAATCAATGTACAAATTTGGAAACAATGCTATGAAACATTTGACTTACTCAAAAGAAAAAGAAAATAAGCCATCACCTGTTCAAATAAAGCAGATTTAAGCATATATTGGAAAAAAGGAAGAAAATGCACTGTTCGGATGGCTACAGGGAGATAGTTAATTGTTATATAACAACCCTGAGAATACTAATAGAATATAGTATGGCTAGTATGCAACGAAAGGAAAATGCAGTGGGTTACCTTAAGCAGTGCTGACTCTTTAGTGGCCTGCATTAGTTGTTGTTCTAGTTCTGCCATTTTTTCCAGTGCTCCATTCTCATATTCCTGCAATCTGGCATTCAGCTACAACACAAGAATACACACGCACTTATGAGGAACAGTACAGCCTACCTGCAACATGAGGTATGTGTGCTATGCAGTAGATGATTATGTGCAAATGTATTTGTGTCCATAGAGTATAGTTAACCTGTGCATTGGTCTCCTGCAGTTCTGTTAAATGCTCCATTATTTCCCCTTTATTTTCTGCATCCTCCAGCAGAGTTCCAACATCAAACACATTATCCAAGTACGCCTGGATTTGTACTTGCAACTTCTCACTCTCCATCTCCTTTAAGGACTGCAGAAACACACACACACACAAAGAAAAACAGTTGTGTTACATTACAAGGATAATGCGCAATTTCATGAATACACGCTGCATATAAAACATCTCAAATCTAGGATCCAATCCTGTGTTAATTTTTTGTAAGATGTTCATTTTGCTTTTATAATGTATTTATCTATCCTGTACACTAGACTTACCTCTAAGTACTGGTCTAGACCCAGCTGGGTGAACTCATACTGAAGATGCACACGGAAGTTCATGTTCTCCACGGAGTGGACCACAATGTTTATGAACTGCATGCAAGCCACCTGTGAAGAAAAAGATCAAATGGATAGATTTTAAAATCATTCATATTACACACATAAAAAGAGAAATAGCGAGCAGGCTAACTGTTATGTAAATCATAACTGATAACAGATGTTACTGACATCAAAGCTCACCATGAAGTCTATATTGCTGTCGTCATTCATGAAGTAGTCCATTAGCTTCTCAAAGCGGTTCTTCTCTCCACTCACCTGTGAGAAGGTGGGCCAAACTTAGAGGTGAGTGTTGAGCATGACACTTGTAATATCCTGTGCTACAAAATGTGTAGACGTTTTACTTGTGTCTGAAAGGTATTTGTGTAGTATTGGTAGCGTAATTTTTGATATTTATGTCACATTAAAGGCAGAGTAAGTGATTTCAAATATCAACATTGGCTACCAGAAATCGCTTACTCTGCCTTTAACTACCATTTAAAGTTTTTTTTTTTTTTAAAGAAACTAATATTTTTTTCAGTAAGGAGGCATTAAATTGATTAAAAGTGATAGTAAAGACATTTCTAATATTACAAAAGATTAATATTTCAAATAAATGCTGTCCTTTTGATCTTTCTATTCATCAGAGAGTCCTGGTAAAAAAATTATCAGTGTCCACAAAAACATTAAGCAGCACAACTGTTTTCAGCTTTGATAATAAGAATAATAATACATGTTTTTGAGCAGCAAATCAGCATTAGAATGATTTTGGAGTACACTGAGAGGAGGTAAAAGATTAAAAAGAGTTATTTACGTTTTTAAGCAATACATCTGGCCCTGGGCAGAAGAAAATGTATCTTGACCTTCTGCAAAACCTGACCGAACCATTTTATGAGGACATCCCATTTGATAAAAAAAAGTGTTTGTACATGAGTAGAAGGCTCGTCATCTTACTTCTTTAAAGTTGTCAAAGGCCGAGATGATGATGTCATGTCCTCCTCTAACCAGACACACTGCAGCCAACAGCTCCAGCACAAGAGCCTTAGTCCTATGAACGGTATATTTAAATAAATTACAAACTCACACAATAAACACACAGCCCCTATACCCCACAAAAAAACACTCACCTGGGGGTTTTGTTGTTGAGACTGAGTGTAATTTCATTGACACATCTGGGGTGAGTCATGACTAAATTGAACCCAGACTGTTAAAAAAAAAAAAAGTGAGTCACATGAAGTTCTCCTAAAATGACCTTTGAGTAATGAGTCTAGTGTTTGAATGTGTTCCTCATGCCAACATACCTGATAATTCATGATAGCGCGCAGACACATAATACAGAGGTGAACGTCATCTCTTTGGCTGGCCAATCGGGCATGTCGCATAGTTCTTCTGCCATGGGTCAAGTTGCTTATTCTAATGTGGAAAGGCACAGAATGAACAAAAGATGAACACTGAATTTGAAGTATCGGAGTACACTTATTAGAATAAGAACGATATCTAAACATCATGGTTTCTTCATTTTAGTCCTTATACTGAGCAGCGATCCCTGTATTTTGGGGTGTGTTGTAATGATGACTCACCGGACAGTGAGTGCACGTGCCGCTCTATTCATGCCGTGTGTGGGAGAATGGTTGACATTTTTGGCTAGATCCTCCACTGATCTCTCTGACAACCTCCTCTTGTCTGATACAGAACCACCGTTTTCCACAGATTCCACTTCAAACCTGAGAAACACATCAGCACAGAATCTGAGGTCATTTTCGTCCACTGAGAGACTACACACTTAAAAATAAAGATTCTTTATAAGCATCTATGTTTCCATTTAACATCCGTGGAACCTTTCAATTCTACAAAGAGTTCTTTAGATTTTTAAAATGTCCTTCGGACTGCACTCTTACAAAAGAAAAAAAGGCTGCAAAAGTGGCTTTTCACATTAATGGCGTAGAAGAACCCATTTGGGTTCCTATAAAAACCTTTCAGTGAGCAGTTCTTAAAGGGATAGTTCACCCAAAAATGAAAATTACCCCATGATTTACTCACCCTCAAGCCATCCTAGGTGTATATGACTTACTTCTTTCAGACGAATCCAGTCGGAGTTATATTAAAAATTGTCCTGGCTCTTCCAAGCTTTATAATGGCAGTGAATGGGTGTTATTCAATAGTCCAATAGAAGTCCAATAAACTGTGCCAATCCATCTTTAAAAAAGTGCTCCACATGGCTCCCGGGGGTTAATAAAGGCCTCCTGAACTGAATCGATGCGTTTTTGTAAGAAAAATATCCATATTTAAAACTTTATTTTCAAATTAACGTAATCTCTAGCTTCCGCTAACTGGTACGTGCATTCACGAGAGAGTGGCATTCCAGCGGATGACGTAGGACATAGGTGCTAGTGATGTGACGTTTGAAGCGTGTATCAAAAAAACGAAACATCTCACAGTAAAGCACTGTACTGGAACTTGATTAGTTTTGCAATAACCATGTGATCTGTGACGTCCGAAGCTTCGTTTTCGCACACAACATTGTTCGAAACACAGTTTCGCGATCCCATTGCACAGGTTTCAAGTGTCAGTCACTTCTTTGATAAGAATAAATCATAATACGAATAAATATTTACATGTGTAGTTTTGTGCATGTTCAGTTTGTATTAATCCCTGCTTCACACGCATTTCAACTGATTATTCCACAATAATCTTAATTTATTTTGATTATATATGCCTACATGAGCCATGCCTATTTTTCATAAATTTATTCACAGACTCAGTTATTCATACTTTGTATAAGTACAATGAATTTTATTTTTTTTATTGCTTTATATGGTTTTCGTAGCACAAACTGATTTATTATATGAAACAATCCAAAAATGGCTGGGACATCTGGGACGCAAAGGCACCTTTTTCCACCTTTGACCAGAAGATGTCATTAGTGTGCAACGTATTGAAAAGCTTCGAGCAGGGGCGCCGCTAGCAATTTTGGGCCCTATGAAAGAAAATGAGGTTGGGCCCCCTACCGCACCCATTCCGCACCAAACATACAAGCCAACTTAGTTATCCAAAATCTTTGTCTGCAATTAAATAATACTGACCTATTACTTTTGCTATAGCTTTTCTGACCACTAGGTATCAGTATTTAGTCAGAGACCTACCCATAGCCGCTGGAATATATTTTATCTGGGGGTGGGGCTGCGGTGGAGGATTTTAAACAAAATCCTAATATTAAACAGCCCAAACACTTATAGATGAACATACAAATTAATGAAGACAACGTTATATAAGAATTAATATATATTTGTGCTTTTAGTAATTTTTTTTTCTTTAATATTTGTATTATTTTAAGGGAATTTTACTAAATATTATCCTCTACATTATGTACCATTTATCTTCTGCAATATCAGAGTGTAAACTCTAGATGGCTGTATAGCCCTATATATAAATACATAAAAACCGTTTGCTGCAGAGTGAGAACTTAAGACATAAAGCACGTTACTTGTAACAGGTTATTCATTGATATATTTTCAGACATTATTAAAGACTACATTTAGTAAAA